CCCAATGCCTCCAGCTATTCTCCCAGTTCATTCTGTTTCCAAATCTTTCTTTATTACACAGAACTCTTGGGAACACCCTTGCTATGTTTCATTGTTGTATTTTTTTTTCCATAAGAAATTCTTTGACTACATCATGGCATCTTGAACAGATGGAAGAGAGTATACCTTATGTTTTCCTTCATATCCTTCTTCTCCTACCTCAAAGTTCTCCATCCCCTATGGGGCCCAGGATAATGCTAGGTACTCAGCACTGACTGAATTTCCCAAAAGATGATTCAGCTTTTCTTTTTTTCCTCCAGTGGTTATCTTGATTTATTTTCTTATTGTTTTCTCTAGTATGTTATTTTGTCAATTGTTTCTTCTCTCACCCCTATCTTCAACTTCTCTATTCCTTCTGGTCCTTGCTCTCAATTTATAAACATGTTCAAGTTTCTGTTACCTGAAACAAATAAATGAATGAAAACTAAACAAATCAAATACAACCTTTCCCTAGACCTTGCATCCCATTCATTTATTCAATATATGTCTACTATACAACATATTCCTACTATGTGCCAGGCACTGTTCCTGGTGCTGGTCAAGCCAGAATAGTCACTGCTCTTACGGTGGTAGTGAGGGGACTCAGAAAATAAACATACAAATCAGAAATGCCCTATCATTCAGGGATAGGCCATTTGGTGCCTTTCTTAGAAGACCTTCCATTGACCCTTCCTGTAGCCTTGGCTACTGAGTGTGGGCTGGATTTCAGCCCCTCCCCTACTCCCCTTGGCCTCTCACAGACCAGCATACATGTCCTCTGCAGCCATGCCCCACTCCTCCCTTCCCAGCCTCCTTAGCGCAGGAGCCTGTAATTTCAGTCTTTACTTCCTAACCAGCAGCATTCTGGCCGCGGTTTCCACCACACGGCCTCTATGCTAAGGCCAATGGGCTTCGGCTCTTAATCACATGACATTAGGCCTTAGACACTGTTGCCCATTCATCAGTCAGGTTCTGCCTTCTCTTCTTCTATCTCCTAGTTGCTCTTTCTCTGTTGTCTTTCCAGGTTCATGTTCTAAGTTCCAACATCACCCTTCTTGTCTTCTCACTTTATGTTCCCAGAGAGTAATTTAACCCATTCTCACTGCTTCAACCCCAACTCTCCACCGATGATCCCAATCTGCCTTCAGATTATCATGCCTATATCCAAAGACGAGCTCCAAGGGCATGTGAAAAGTGCATTGGCAAAGGACTGCATGATTAAAAGGATTGCATGCTTGGGATTTAATGCTCTGTGGTTGCCATCTTAGAATTCTCAAGAATTTTATCTTTTAATTTGTGTTTTGTAAATGAAGTCTGATGGGCAATGGAGCATGCACTGAGGGCTTGACTGCTTCCTGCTGCCTCCCTGGGACAAGTACTCAGATGCCAGCTCCCCTGCCTTCAGGTGTCCCGGCCTGCCCGGCATCCTCCTCTTCCTCCCTCTGCCCCTGGCAGGGACCTGGCTGCAGGATTAGGGAGGGTCAAGGTTGGGATGTGTGCTCTAGCATCTTGGGATGGGACATGGTGGTGGCCATCCCTGCCTGGGATTGGGAGCATCACTGCATGTTTGGGAGGTGACTCAGCTGGGGCAAGATCCAGGTACCAAGTGCATCCCTGTATGGATGTTGCAACCCCTTGAAGGCTGTCTGTGTGCAGAGGGTTGGACACTTAGCTGTGGGAAGAGATACTGACTTCCCCTGGGGAGTTCAGTCCAGGGGAGGGGGAGCCTGGTAGTCTGTGAGTCACATGCTCACACCAGCACAATGAGTCAATGGGTGCCCTGGGCCTCTATGAGTATTTGCACTTGTCTAGCAAGTATTCCTGTTTCTGAGGGAGTATGACATTAAACAGCAGATAAAAAACACCATGACCTGTAGAGAGAGAGACTGAGGTAAAAAAGAACGACCTTTTACATTTGAGTACTTTAATGGCACTCTTTTGTTGCTTTTTTTCCAATTTGTACTGGGCCTTGCAAATTATGTAGCCAGCCTTGCATATTATAGCTGCCTATCTGAAATCTACACTTCATTGGTCCACAGGCTTTCAACACGTCCAAAAGTAAATTCAAAACTCTCTCCCTCAACGTTTGTTTTCTAACTCAGGTGGTGCCAGTCAAGCTAGAAACCTGGGAGTCTCCCAGACACCTCCTTCTTGTCCAGTCAGTCCCCAAGTCTTGTTAGGTGTCCCACCTAGATACTGACCACGGTGACTGCATTTCCATTCCTACTGCCACTGCCTCGATTCAGACCTTCTTCATCTTACACGATGGACTTAAACATGTTGGCGATTGTGTGGATGGCGCAGAACCAAGCAATGTCTCAGTCTGTTGCACATAAAGTCGCCAGGAGTTGGAGTCGACTTGAAGGCAGCTAACAACAACAGTAGAGCAGAGCACAGTAACTTTGTAAATATTTGTTGAAAGATCAAATGAATGCTTGCATGAATGAGTGATTGAATGAGGTGCAGTATAAGATTTTGGTGAAGGGCAACCACTTTGGAGTGAAGCAGTCCTGGATTTAAATCCCAGCTCTATACCTATCAATGTATTGTGACCTTGTGAAAATCACCCTAAGCCTCAGTTTTTCAATTTCAAAATTGGGTACATGGAATTTACCTCAAAATAAACTGTTGCCAATTTAATATTGACAAATGAGGCTGTAGTTAGACATAACTCATATCTGTAATTAAATCTCTGTATGTTTGGAAGATATTTTGGAATGAAAAGACAAAATTAAAGGACAACTAAGTTGTGTTCTTTTAGATTATTAACAATAACAAAAAAATACACTCATTAAATATCCAATGGGCGCAAGGCACTCTGCTAGGATCTGTGGAGAAATTAAGTACAAAGCAGACCCATGGGAGATATTTATATATGTAATCTCTAAAATAGGGTAGAAAATGACAGCTGCCCTAAGAGAGTATCAGATTTTAGATTGTGAGTTCATTGATAGCTGAGAAGTTAGGAAGGCTTCCTGGAAGAAGTGGCATTTGAGATGGACCTTGGAGGAAAGGTAGCAAGTGGTGCTGGCACTGGATGCAGCCATGAGAAGGCAGAGACTCGTGGGAGAGAAATGTGAGTTCTGCCATTCTACTGCCAATGTTTCTGCTGGATGCTGCAGTTTCAGAGTATGAAATGATGGCTGGTGACCTGCCTTTGCCTCACAGTACGTTGTGCCCTGGCTTTCTGCCTCATAAGCTGTGGGCACTCTGCTCAAAATGAGGTCACCTGACTTTAACAGCTAAGGTAGAGGCTGCCTGTTTGGGCTGTTGCCTCTCAGCATTGGCACTTCTGCCTTTCTGCTCTCTGAATGGCTTCCCCATGCCTGAGGACGTGCAGTACAGGCTCTCCTGCATGGGTGATTGACTGCTCCCCATGAACAGGAATGTGCAGCTGGGATCAGTGCGGAGAATTGGGGAAGGACTAACAAATCTCATTACAGATAGCCAAATGATGTCATTTAGAATTAAATAGACTGTGTGTGAAGCTGAGGAAGATACACGCTGTAAAGATGATTTGCAAAACATTTCATTTTACATGTGATAGTTAAACTAGTTAAAAAAAAAAAAAAATCAGTGAATCAGATGTCATTTCCAGGAATTGTTTTCTGGCGCCACCAGATTGAGTTCATCACACTGCCACCAGCCTGTGTGTGTTATTATTGCATTTTCTCCATTGCAGTATGATTGTGGTTAAATCTGGTTCTGGGGTTCCAGGTTTCCTGAGCTTGAAGGCAATACTCATTTACTAATATGTGACTTTGAGGCACTTCATTTAACTTCCCTAAGCTACAGTTTCCTCATATGTAAAATGGAAGTGGTAGTAATTCCATCGTGATATAGCACTTGCGAGTAGTAAAAGAAATGACCCGTACAATAAAGAACATCACCAAACCAAAACAAACTGAACCAGTTGCCAGTCTGGTCAATTCCCACCCATGGTGACCCCATGTGTTTCAGAGAACTGTGCTCCACGGGGTTTTCAAGGCTGTAACCTTTCAGAAGCAGATTGCCAGGCCATTCTTCCAAGGCGCCTCTGGTCTGAGCCATCAACCTTCCATTAGTACAGCAAGTTTGCGCCACACTGGCCATCACAGCGCCTGGCATATAGCAAGTGCTTTCTCCCCAGATACCAGCATGATTTGTTCTCTCATCTCCTTCGGATATTTAATCAAATGCCGTCTTCATTGTGAGGTCTTTTCCCACCACCTGCTTTAAAACTGCACCCCCACCAACATTCTCTATCTCCCTTCCTGTGTTATTTTTTTCTCCACAGCACTTACTTATCACTATCTCACATAATGCACATTTTACTTATTTTTCTATGTTTCTTGCCTGTCTGTCTCTAGAATACAACTCCAAGGGGCTGTATCACTAGCGCCCCGATTAATACCTGGCATGGAATGTGGTCTCAAAAAATATTTGCCGGAAGGGAAAAGGAGTGAGCTAAGTTCGCAAACTTGAAACTGCTCCTGGTCCAGTTGTTCCCTCTGGAGACCTGTGTGGGGAACTTTTGACTGTCCGTTGTCTCCGTCACCAGGGCTCAGAAGTAGGAACTAAAACTAAGGTAGTAATTTAAGTAGCACGTTATGGAGGGCCACAGCCTTACTGAACTTGAACCCACCGCTGAGGAGTTTTCATAAACTTCGATTCATATTGCCCATTCCATCCCCAGGTGCTCATGACTTCTGTTACCCAAAGTCGGCCAGTAGGACACACGGCAGAGCCTTGGAGGGCAGAGAATTCTCTCAGATTTCTTTTCCTTTTCCTGGGGCAGGCCTTTATTGGGACTCTGAGAAGCAGCGTAAGCAGGAAAGGGTTCTGCAAAGCTCACCACCTCTTCGCCTCGGCGCCCTCCAGTTCGGGAGGCGGCTCCCGGCCCTGCTGCCACTGCGTCCCGCGCCGCCTCCGCTGCGGTTCGGGAGCGCGCGTCTCCGCCGCACCGCCGCGCCAGGAGCGACCAGGCGGCCGGAAGAGGCGGTGGCGCTCACGCAACTCGGAGGAGTCGCGACGGGGGTCGAGCCCGCGGGCCGGGGCGCGCTAACCGGTAACAGATGGCGGGACGGGGCTCCAGGGGCGAGCAAACCCTGGGTCCCGCGTGTGGGGCGCGGGGCGTGTCGGGCTCCGGAGGGCAGTATGGCTCGCTTGCGTTTAGGGGTGGTTTTAGTTTGGGCGTGTTTTGGAGGATAGAGTGTGAGGGAGAGAACCGGGATTTGAGGGTGCCCAGAGGAAGAGTGTGGACCCCGTGGAGAGCACCCAAGTTTAAAACCTTCCTGCAGCTCCTTGATGTTCGTGCGTCCCGCCGCAGGGCGTCAGAAAAGGCTGGAAGCGGAGGCGCTCGGGCTTGGGTGGGCTTCCTCCCTTGCGCTCGGCCCCAGCGGTCGGGTCACACCTCCGGCCCTTGTGAAAACTTTCCTGCCGGTGGCCTGCCTGCTATCTCGGTGCTCCGCAGCTGGGAGCGCCCTTCCGGCCGGGGGACCCTGCACCTGCGAGAGAAATGTGCTGTCCCCTGGCCCCCCGGTGCGCGCCCCCTGCGATGGGCAGGGCTCTCAACAGGAATCCTGGCCTCGCAGCTGTTAATTCATTTTGTTTCGACGGGGGAGGTTGCCTGCAAGGCGTCTCACTGATTGGAGGGAAACCATGGTTTTATTCCTCCACCCCTTTCCATCTTTTCTGTGTTATTGAGGAAGCAAAAAATAGCTTCATTAGAGACGTTTTGAGGTTTTGTGGTTTCTACAGTATTTAAGACGACATGAAGAATCCCAGATAATCCTCCGGATTTAATCTGACAATGAAACACTCAATGGTGTTCTGAAAAGAACCTTGGGATTTCAGTGGCCATGCTACTATAGGGAAGAGAAGAGAACTCCCAAATATAAATTCTCATTAAAACCCCAAAGGTAAGTAGTATTTCCAGTTTACAGATGAAGGAAAGTCTGTTGAGATAGTAAATAAGTTTTCCAAGTTGACTTCCTCAGTTAATAGTGGGGAATTGGGGTCTGGAAACTAGGTCTGTGAGTACAGTGTCTTTGAGGTAGAGCACATGGGATGCATCACCAAGAATGGATGCAGAAAATTGGTTGGACCTGCAAGGATAAGGCAGAGACAGAAAGAGAAGACAGACACCACCATGAGCTGGGGTATCCACAACAACGAGTTTTGTTCTGATCAAGAAGATCACTCGTGTTTATGGGAGATGAAGTGATATCAACAGGCGATAAGAGAAGGCAGAGTGGCGCTCAGTTTCTTTCTTTCTTTTCAAAATGAGAAGGCCAGCTCAAATGTCTTTTTAAAGGGTCTTGAAGCCTGAAACTGGTCTGGATTGTTCAAAGACCAAATGACAGGCATCTTGGAGAGATGACGGGGTTCGTGGTTACCTTTGAGTGGACATGAGAGATGAAGGCAGAACTGACTTTTAAGAAGAGGGAAACATTGAATCCTGGCAGTATTCCAGGACAAATTCTTTAAAAAAAAAAAAAAAAAAGCTCAAGACCACCTAGGAGAGGATTTACAAAGAAAATTTATGCCAAACGAAGTTCTTTACCTTTTCTGGTCATCTCCTGGGTTGTAGATTGGGGAATGCCATATCCCATGTTTTTCAAATGAAGAGTTATGACTCATTAAAGTAATGATAACAGTTTAGTGAATTCCAACCAGCATTTTTTAAAAAAATGAAATTCAGTAGAAGGGAAGAGTGCATTACATGTACAAGAGTATCGTTTTGTAAAACGCGCGCGCGTGCATGTGTGTGTGTGTCTGTGTGTTGTTCTGGTTTATTTATCCTGCTGCTTCTGCCTGGGCTTGCATACCTGTCCCCAGCTGCCCTCACTCATCGTTCCAGGCAGATCCCATTCTGCTCACAGTGGCGGTCACCTTCCTTATCTTACAAATTACGTCATCAGTACATTCTGGAAAGTGTGGTCTTCCACCTCCCTGTTTCTCTAGGCCCCAGAGTCTGAGCTATTTTGCCAATCAGAACTCATTTCTGAATCCTTTATTTCTGACGTTTTAATGTTTTTGGTGTGCCAGCAACTTGGCTAGGTGCTTTCTAATACATAGTCTCCTTTAGTCCTCACAGCAAGGTAGCTGTTGTTATTCCCAAAGCTAGGGAGCTGCAAGTAAGTCAGACTCTCCCCATTAGTGGGCAGTAGACGGTGTGCACTGCCTTTGCCGAGGCATTTTACAAAGCCTCACATTATACCTAAAGATAAGGAGGGGAGAAGGTGCAACCTGTCTTTGTCCCTGCTCTCGCCTTTGGTGTCTTGCATCTAGAAAAGGGCAGAGGTGGACATTTATCAGAGTTGAAGCAGCTACAAATCTGGCATGGATAATCTATGAGACCTATTTTATATCTGGATAAGAGATGTAGTACTAGAACATTGGGCTCACAGTACAGTTAAAAGTCTAGTTGTGCATTTAGGTTGAAAGAGTCAATTAAAAAGCTAGAGAGTAGCCCCACTGAGCAGCAGTTCATGTAAAAGAAAAAACCTGATGGTTTCATTGAACCAGCCCTGAATGAACCATATTGTAAAGTAGCTACTCAAAAGCAGAGTTGGGTTGCACTGATAATGAAATTCTTTTACCATATCTATTCAATCTGTATGCTGAGCAAATAATCCGAGAAGCTGGACTATATGAAGAATGGGGCATCAGGATTGGAGGAAGACTCATTAACAACGTGCATTATGCAGATGACACAACCTTGCTTGCTGAAAGTGAAGAGGACTTGAAGCACTTACTGATAAAGATCAAAGACCACAACCATCTGTATGGATTACACCTCAACATAAAGAAAACAAAAATCCTCACAACTGGACCAATAAGCAACATCATGATAAACGGAGAAAAGATTAAAGTTGTCGAGGATTTCATTTCACTTGGATCCACAGTCAACACCCATGGAAGCAGCAGTCAAGAAATCAAACAACACATTGCATTGGGCAGATCTGCTGCAAAATACCTCTTTAAAGTGCTGAAAAGCAAAGATGTCACATCGAAGACTAAGGTGCACCTGACCCAAGCCGTGGTGTTTTCAATTGCCTCATATGCATGTGAAAGCTGGACGATTAATAAGGAAGACCAAAGGAGAATTGAGCCTTTGAATTGTGGTGTTGGCGAAGAATATTGAATATACCATGGACTGCCAAAAGAACGAACAAGTCTGTCTTGGAAGAAGTACAACCAAGATGCTCCTTAGAAGCAAGGATGGGAGTCTACGTCTCACATACTTTGACCATGTTGTCAGGAGGGATCAGTCCCTGGAGAAGGACGTCATGCTTGGTAAAGTAGAGGGTCAGTGAAAAAGAGGGAGACCCTCTATGAGATGGATTGACGCAGTGGTGAAACAGTGGGCTCAAGCGTAACGATTTTGAGGATGGCGCAGGACTGGGCAGTGTTTTGTTCTGTTGTACATAGGGTTGCTATGAGTCGAAACCGACTTGGTGGCACCTAACAAGAACAACAAAGCAGAGGGCAAGGCTGCCAGAAGCAAGTATATGTTTATCTTATTTGGTATTTGCAGTTTACTCTGTAACATGTTGTTGTTAGTTGCTGTCGGGTCAGCTCCAAATCATGGCAGCTTTACGTATAACAGAACCATCTTCATGATCGTTGGTATGTTTGAGTCCATCGTTGTGACTGTTGTGTCAGTCCATCCCATTGACGATTTCCCTCGTTTTCACTGAGCCTCTACTTTACTAGCCAGGATGTCCTTTTCTAGCGATTGGGCTTTCCTGATGACATATCTTTCATCCCTAGCATATCTTTATGACATCCTGATGACATATTTGTCATCCATAACATATTTGTAAGGTATCTGTGCTTGTTTAATATAAAAAAAAAATCGTCCAAGTATTCTAGTAACATCTATGCTCCAAGGAGTTGAGCCCGTTGTGTCCCGAGATTTTGAGGGGTATTTGGCCACACCCAAACCTAAGCAAGGGGTCTCTGTTTTCCACCCCTCACTTTGCAAGGCCCCTCCCTCTCTGGCTGTTTTCTGGCAGGACCCCTCCCTGAACATTGAGGTGTCTGTGGAGCGCCTGGAGCCTGCACTGCCCTCACCCCACCAAGCTCTGGTTTAATTGTAAACAGGGATTGTAGTGAGGTGGCCTTGGGTTGGGGAGGTGGAGGAGCTAGAAAGGACATGCATTGTGGTTTAAGAACCCCAGACCTAGGAGGGTAAGATCATCATTAGGAAGTTCAGATTTTCTGCTGTTTTTGAATTGAGCTCTTAAGTAAGCTACTGCTTTAGTTTAAATATTCTTTTCTGTGGAGTAGAGATTGAAATACCTGGTCCCTCTCCTCTTCTCTTGCTTGTCAAAAGAATGATTGAGCTCAGAGCTGTAAAGAACGGTGGGTACTGCTTAGAGACAGATACCGCGAGCAATAAATACAAAGTAGTCTTGTTTGGCAAATCACCCTCAAAGTGATTTAAGATATGGCCAGTCTCACTTTTCTTGATTTTATTGTGCCAAGGGCTTCAAAAACTCCATTGATTAAGATTTAAAGGGTGGTTGATTTCCTAGTTGTTAAAATGTTCTAATTTTAAAGTTTTAATTCACCTGGCATGGTGTTTTGTAATAGGAGCTATAAATCAATATGAGGGCTCTGTGAGAGGCAAAGTCAGATTTTTAGGGGGTCTGCTTTATACTAAGGAGTCCCTGGGAGGTACAAACAGTTAAGTGCTTGGCTACTAACCAAAAAGTTAGCAGTTCGAATCCACCCAGAGACATCTTGGAGGAAAAGCCTGGCGAGCTACTTCCGAAAAGTCATAGCCATTGAAAACCCTATGAAGCACGGTTCTACTCTGACACACATGGGGTCTCCATGAGTGAGAGCTGACTTGCCAGCAACTGATTTGGTTTTTGGTTTGATTTATACTCTCTTTGATATTAAAATGAAAGATTCAGCTGTGATGGGATTTGAGAGAAGGAGGCGATTCTTCTGGGCTAAAATAGTTGGACAGGACTCCACGGAGTCGGCAATGATTGAGCTCAGCTCTCAAGGGTGGCAGGCGTCTGGAGAAGAGTGACATGGCAGTCGAGGTTG